CAGATTCAGTCCAGCTCTTTTGTGTTCTTGATTGCTGTCTATCGATGGCGTTGTTGTTGTTGTATTCGATGGGTCTTTCTGTTGCTCGCAAAAATGGGAGTTCCCCAATCACAAGCTGATTGCTTAACCCAAATCCTCGGCTCTCCCCTTTGTCTGCAGCACCCAGGCTCTCCCCTTTGTCTGCAGCCCCCACGGCAATCTGGCGTTGACACAAAGTATCCGCTTGCGGTTTAGTTAAGCGGCGCCAGCTGGCCCCTTAATCAGTTTGCGGTTTCTCACTTCCCCTTTCCTTGCTAGCGCTCGAGCGGTGAAACTGACTCAGAGCGGTTTGGCGAGTTCCTAGCCGTGCTGCGCTGGCTGAATCCGACAAATGTTTTGAAACAGTGCTAACCGTAAAGCATCGGGTATCCTGGCACGATCTGACCATGCTATGTGCCAATGCCAGTGTTGCATAAGGAACAAAACAAGATCTGTACTTCACTCAGGAAACATGTTTCTCCTGGAAAAGGTGGCATCCATTCCAACATGATCCCTACCTGCAGAACAAGATGGATCGCACAAACAGGTAGGGGTTATGTGGGAGAGAGAGATTTCATACCTTTCTGGAGAGGATCCATTACAGGGTTAGGAATTTTTACCTAGAGAGCAAATGGAAGCTTAAGTATTAACCCAATGCAAACACTTAGGATTTGCTGTATTAAACTGGTTCTGTTCTTGCTTTATCTTCAGGTATATGTGCATATAGGGTTTCACTGAATCACAAATATAGTTTAGTATTTTTTATAAGATGAAATGAAATAAATGAAACTGAGAAAATAGTAATATTTTATATCAATTAAGCAACCATTTATTTTAGAATTTGCAACATGGTATAGAACTCTCAATTTTATTGTTTGAGAATAATTGGAACCTTTAATAAGATTTTCGTAAGCCCTGAAATGTGTAATGAAAAAAAAAAATGGTTTGGTTTTTGCTGTTGCTGACATTGTGGGAAATAGTGCCTCTACCTCTGACAGACAAGAACTTGTGTGTGGATAATTACTATTTTTGCTGTTCCTTTTCTTTTTTCTTTTGGCAAGGGGAGGATTATCTCTAAAAGGAATACAAATAGAAATTTTGAAATAAATGTTAAACTCTGTAAAGGAAAATGAATTTGATAAAGGAAATGGCTTGAGCAAGCTAATATTTTTATTGTCTGAAAATCATGGGAGTACCTTAGACATACATGTCCATCCCAGATTATACTTTAATTAAAAACCCTTTATTTATTTTTATATTCTTGAGAAGGAAAAAAACACATAGAAAGTGCTTTAATAAAAAGTGCAAGAAATACAACAAAGAAAAACATATGTCTAATTAAAACCCTTTATAATAAAATGTTTTTATAATTCATAGCATTTTGTCAAGATTCTGAAATATCACCTCTTTAACTTTAAAACAAGATTTTAATCCCTTATGACAATAGTAGTTGAATCTGAAAAAAATGACAGTTGTAATGTGTTTCATTGCCAAATTTTAATTTATGATGAGATTTATATCTTGTCTTTATTGTGCACAACTCAAGGCAGTATATCTAATGCTCCTGATTCCTGTTTCTTGCACAACAACGACCCGTGAGGTGGGTTCAGCTGAGAGAGGGACTGGCCCAAAATCACCCAGCTGGCTTCAGTGCCTAAGGGGGATTAGAAGTCACAGTCTCCTGGTTTCTCGTCCAGCACCTTCACCACTACACCAAACTGCCTCCCCTTCGGTGTTTCAAGGAACTATTTTTATCAGGTTTATGAGGTGAATTAGGCTGTATTTATAATGTATAGCAGCATCCAGCTATGGCCCAAGGTGGTGACACCTGATTTGCCCAAATCCATCTTATGCACTTAGTTGCCAGCTAATTGATTATTAATAGAGAATATGTGTTGCTCAGGGTTGAACTGTGGAGTCCTTGGGGTTCTCTGAGCTTGGTTGTTTTCTTGCAAATG